CTCAAAACACTTTAAAAGTGCCTTTTTTCCACCACACTTGTTCGTTTCATTTAAAAATAAATAGTTGTTATTTTAATAAGTTTATTACTATAAACTGTATTACTGTCATTATATACTTTTTTCTTTTCCAAAACATAGCAGTACCTCTAAATAATTTTAAGTCATATACAACATATTTGTTTGATGTTAATAGAGAAAAGGGTTTGGCATTACTTTAATATTGTATTATGTACGTTTTTTAATAGGGAGGCTAAGTTAATAATATCTGAAAACTCATAATATTTTATTTTACAGGGACATAAAAACTCCAAATTCAATATGTTACTCCCAAAAGTAGTAATACCTTAAGTCCTAAGGAAGGCGTGAAGGTGCCTAGCAGATGGAAAAATTCATGATATTGAACTGGTAAGCAACAATATCAATTAGAAATAGTAAATGAGTTCTTAGAAACTTCAATTTCTTAAACATTTGTCACTTGCTTCAAAAGGCCTGGTTGGCGTTTGTTTGCTGCACTACGATTTTGCCACAAAAATTCATGAAAAACATCGATTTGCACTTCCAACCTCCAATTTAAAAACGTTTTTATTTCTTCATTTTTAATATTTTAAACCCTGATGTTGAAAGCTGAACCATTAATAAGTAAAAGAATTCAAACCTGCAGCCTGACGCTTAGAATACTTTGCAGTGAAGTGGGTTGCCTATACGGAAGTCCAATAATCGCCAAAGCTATTTAAAATAATTTGTATTTTAAATTTAAATTGTGATGGTACAGCTTCGCGGGAAATTAAATGAGTGCGCTGTAGTCTAGATAAAGATACAATGTTACAGTGCGAGTCGAAATTTGTAAGCAACTAAATTTTTGGATTTTAGTAAAATAATTTAAATTTATTTGGTACAGAAGCAGTCTATGAAAATCATTCATTTTACAGCACTTAACAATATTATTGCAAATGAATTTTTAAAACATCGTTTTATACATTTCTCTAATATGGGCATTTTTAACTCGTATCCTGTACACTACAATTTTTTATAGGATTTCTGATAAAGATGATTTATAGTTAAATATGCAGACAAAAACTGTTAGTTTGTAATAAAGCAATAATACTCGAGCAGATAGATGCTTCTTAATGAAAAGAGCAATTGATTAAAAATAAAACAGTTATTTCTTTCATATGCATCGGAAGTCTAGAATTTATTTTTGCATTTTCAAAAAGTATTGTATTTTTAAAAAATCCGTGTTTTTAAATTACATGCCAATAAAAATAAACCGAGTTTTAGTTATCTCTTAAAAAAATAACATGCAAATGAAAATTTCCCACTCTTATGCCAATGAAAGGTGCTTATCAATTTTTTGACAACGGTTTTATAACTAACACTTCTTACGTTCCTGTAGGTATTTAGGTATTTAAAGAAAAACAAAAGATAACATAGTACAATAAAGTACAAACTAACTGCAAATTTTAGGTGGTTACTTACTAATTTAGAAATGCTCCAACTTTTTAATAACTAAAATCGACAGATGAGATAAATTCAAGTGTAAATTAATTTATTTATCCGTTGTTTATCATATATTCTACATAAAGGCCATTAATNAATTATTAAATTTTTTGCATAACAGATATCTATTAAATAAATTAGTTAATAATTGTTTTTGACCGTTTACACAGATTGGCCAACAATTGAGAGAGATTGGAACTGATATCGTTGCTTACTGAAAAGATAAGTCGTCTCCTATGGTGTTTTAGCTGTTTAACTTTCATCTTGGAGGCTCTTGTAGTTAATTAAGGTGAGCATGCAGACTATACTTTCTATATGTAGTGTATTTATTAGATATTAACAAAGAAAAAGATTCAGCATTACTTTAACAATGTATCGTGCACATTATTTACTTAATAATTATATCTGAACACTTTTTACAAGATTTCATTTTACAGGAACATTAGAAGGACTCCATATACCAGTAAATTATGAAATTTTGGAGCACTGGTTGTATTAGTCCTCATTTGCCCCAGAAAGTAGCTGTTCCCATGGTTCTAAAGAAAGCATGAAAGTGCCTTTTTTCCATTGGGAACGAAGCTGTTAAATTTTCATCCTGGATGCTCTTGTAGTTAATTGAGGTGAGTATACATGCTGTATTGTATATATGTAGTGTATTTTTTTGATATTAAAAGACAAAAGGGTACGGCGTTACTTTTAACAATTTATTTATGCACTCTACTTAGTATGGGGTCTAAATTTATTATATTTGAATACTTATATTATTTGATTTTACAGGGATGTTAGAAGAATTTCCAGATGCCATTAAATTGTGGAGCATTGATTGTGTCGGTTCTCATTGACTCCACAAAGTGACTGTTCCTATGGTCATAAAGAAAGGATGAAAGTGCCTTTCCATTGGGAACGGAGACAATGTGCTTAAGAAGTGTGTTGCTGAAGGAGGGATTTATGACAATAAACTGGTATGTAACAGTATCAATTAAAATTAGTAAATGAGGGAACTTGATTTCTTGGACATTTGTAACTTGCTTCAATAGACAACTTTTAAACAACGTTTCAGAAATGGCAGAAGCAGAATTTATGTGGAACAGATCTTTTCATTGTGTGCATGTTACTGATTTATTTGATTTAAAAATGATAATTAATTATTTTTTCTTGCCTGTTTCTATATAGATTGTCCCACAAATGAGAAGGAATTGCAGTTAATTTTGGTGCTACTAAAACAACTGATGCTCTTGACGTCTTCACCTTGCAACATTATGCAGTTAATTTTTGCCGTAACAATGGGAGGCAATTGGAAATAAATTAATTTGGATGCAACCGGAACAACAAATTATCTGCAGTGGTATCCCTCCTAGATTTGGTTGGTTTGCTCATCACACTGGTAGACTTTAGAACGCGACTTTCTACAATTAATTAAGGTGAGAATACTAAATTTATGTTATTGTGCATCAATATGACTTTGTAGTTTTTATTTTCCACAGAGTAAATTGATATTTATCATTGATGTATATATGGAGTTTATCTATCTATGAAGTTTATCTATCTATGGATTTTTTTTAACCTTTTTCTGTTGTCTATGTTTGCATTTACGTCGTGTTATTTGACGTTAAATATGTCGTGATCTATGCAGATCTATGGTTTTGATGTAAAGTTGTTTGTTTATTTTTTAATTCAGCTATTTCACTTGCTTTTTGGTGCGATTTTATTTTTGTTTCTTAATTATAAGTGTAATTAATATGTTTTTTGTCCATTTCTGCAGGTTATACAATAAATGAGAGAGAATTATTGTTCAGTTTGGTTATACTGAAACAGTCCATGTCTACATGGGTGTGGTCTTTCCTGGATTATATTCTTGATTTGCTGTTTCGTCTTCGCCTTGTAACATCATGCAGTTAATTTTC